CTAATGATGGGCTCTTGATACTTGGGCCCAAAATTTTTCTATGGGAAATTATTATTAGGAAATCCAAAAAATGCAAGCACATTGAAATAAAGGCCTTTGTTTATTTTTGTTCTATTTTGTTCATTATTTTTGGAGTAAACTCCTGCTTAATGATAAGTTTTGTCAGCTAGAATGAAAAAAAACCTGCCTTTCACTCCAAAACTGCAATTCCAAATCTGGATCTCCAGATATTGGGATCCAATATGATGGTGACAAACTGAGGATTTCATGAGTGATCCTGGATTAAATAAATTGGTATGTTAGATTTCACAGGCTGCACAATTTTTGAGAGCAGCTTTTAAATGAACACAGAACTTGCTAAGAAAGTAAATCAAATCGACAAATTGTATCGAGAAAGGATGTACCTAGAAAGGGTATTGTATTGTTCTTTATTTTAAAAAAATATAACATTAGTTCTCCACCGTAGAATATAGTATTTGTAACTTGGTTCAATTTTGATTGCATTAGGAATGAGGAGCCACTGGTCCAGGCAACGTGCAATCCTTGTATAAATTCCATGCGTTTCGAGCTTTTCTTTGAAAATCTCTTTGTAAGATACCAGCTCAAGCCAAGAACAAAGAGACTCAAATAGGACATTCTTAGATTTCAATGCCTTTCTGGATTTTATAACTCCTGCTCTGGAATCTCTCTCATTTGAGATTTGTTTTTGGGAGGGCTGACAGTGGTAATTAGAAAAATCTACTTTACACATGCTGAAGGGCTAAATTTGAGAGTCCAAATGTTATCCTACATTTACCATACCATACAATTAACCATACAATTAAAGCTAGTCCTTGACTTACATTCATTTGAAGTTACAACAGCACTGAAAAAGGGACTTATGACCATTGCAGTACCTCCATAGTCATGTGATCAAAATTCAGATGCTTGGCAACTGGCATGGTATTTATGACAGAGTCATATGATCACATTTTGTGGCATTCTGACAAGCAAAAATTGATGGAAAAGCCAGATTCACTCATCTTACTACCTTAACAGCTGCAATGGTTAACTTAGCAACTGTAGCATGCAAGGTTATAAAATGGAGCAAAACTCACTTAAACTGTCTTGCTTAGCAATAGAATTTTTGGGCTCACATCTGATTGTAAATTGAGGGTTACCCCAATCACTTTTTCTGTTTCATTCTTCTTCCAACCCTGTTAAGCAGATAAAGCAGAAAGTTAGCAGCCCCTAATACTGTTTCTTCTTTGATGACTTTTCCACTTTCTCCCACTGGAAGCTCCACACTTCCTTTCTTAAACTGCCATTTTGTTTGCAAGAAAGGGAAATGAGCCATGAAAAAATGCACCACTCTCCATCTTGGGTTGATTTGATGGCAAGTGTTATCAACCACATCTGAAAAATAAGGTCTGATATGAATAAAACAGGATGAATAAAATTTTCCCTGTCCATTGTTTTTCTCTCTCTCTCAAGAAAAAAAAAGGTAGGTATAAATGCAACAAATAAAACTTTTTTTTTAAGGAAACTACAAATTTTATTATGGTATAATGCAAAATTTAAAACATATGAAAAAAGGAAGCTGCATTATAATGGGTCAAACTATTCGCTCAACTAATTCTAAATCCTGGAGTCCTTGATGCTTGCAGCATGGCTGGCTTGCTTGCAGATGTTTCATTACCCATCTAGGTAATGTCATTAATACTCCACAGTTCAACCTAATTATATATATTTTCTTCTATTGTGATTCTAGATTTCTAGCTAATCAATTTTTTTTCCAGGATTTTAGGGAAAAAACATTTTTTCCAGTGTTACTTGGAGGTACAAGAAAACGTACAAATAATCTTGACTTACAACCATTCATTTAGTGACAGTTCAAAATTACAACAGCACTAAAAAAATGTGTTATGACCATTTTTCACGCTTATGACCATTTCAACATCACCATGTCACATGATTAAAACTTGGGTGCTTGGCAACTGGCATGCACCTATGATGGTGACAGTATCATGGGATCACCTTCTAGCAAGCAAAGCCAATGGGGAAAGGCAGATACTTGTACCCACCATTTACTATAACTGCAGTAAATCACTTAATAACTGAGGCAAGAAAGGTCGTAAAATTAGGTAAAACTCATTTAACAACTGTCTTGCTTAGCAATGGAAGTTTGGGGCTGAGTTGTAGTTATAAGTCAAGGACTACCTATTTTATGTATTTGACCTCTTTTGTCTACAAAACAGTATTCTACAGTATTGAATTATAAACATACTGTGTTGCTCTGGGACTGGTCCACTTAATAGCTGCTATTTTCAGGAGGTGCCATGAGGTTGTACCTTAAAAAAGACTATCCAGTCCTTTGAACAATGCCAATATAGAATGTGATAACTAGACCAAATGGGATGATTTCAAAAATTATCTTTGTTGAAATAAACATTCATTTTTTGAATGTATTACATATTCATTAAAAATTTGATATACATTCACATTTGATGCATATATATCAGATCTGGCATATTTTATGTCCTTTCTATCTCTAAACATGAACATATGTGCACATAAATGTGTTTGTGCAAACCCTTGTGTTCAGGCCTATATATACTATATACATATCTCAGTCAGGTTATTTATTGGTGAATCTTTTGCCTTGGTACATATTTACATGCCTGCTCACACACATGTACACACCCATCAGCTTGCCAAAGGTAGCCACCCACACAAACTTCTCTTCAAATTCTTAGCAACTGTCTTACTGTGATCATCCCTAGTCACAAACTGCCTACATCCCAGAAATATTGCTACAAAAACAACCTTGTGCTCCAATTTCTACACTTAGCAGCCCAACTATAAACTTCTAAACTTTTTGTAAATACGTAGTAAGCAAATGTCAATGCTATCTTCTACATTTTTGCATGTTTAAATATTTTGCGGAGCTTAGAAAGCTGAAAGTTGTAACTCACACAAAAGGGGATGACCATAAACCACCTGAAGGTTCTTTGTAATCTTCTGCGTATCGTTCCCCTTTAAAAGTAATAATACATTATACAGGGTATGTGCTCCTAAGAACAAGCAGATAAAAAGCCACAGGTGTTATGCCTGTGTGATTTGTCCTGGAAGAAGCAGGTGTACTTAATATTTCTTTAATTGGAAAGTGGTTTATACATTTTCAGGTGAGTTTCAAGATTATCATGTATTTGTTTCTTTAAAGAGAAATTACACAGGCTAGTTTCAAAGATATCTTCAAGGACAGAGCAATAAAGAATTAAAGGGTTGCACATTACTTTTTGCAGGGATCCTTCCCTAGAAGCTGCTCTTTGCATTGAAAAGAAATTTCCAATAGCACTGAGATCAATTCGGCAAATGGTTACTGATTTGCTAAACAAATGTGGTTATCAATCCATGTTAAGCCTGGAGGTCTGGGGTTAGGCTTTTCTCTTAGATTTCATGTCTCTATGCCTAGAAAAACATAAGTCTGCGGGGTGCCCAGCTTCTGGAATAGTGTTTCACAAAGCCAAGAACGTCTCAACTCTTTCATGCCATTGTAGTGAAATGCAGTTGTGAGACCCAGCATGTCCTCTTGAAAACATATAAAGCCTATTTGAAAAAAACTCCAATTAAAAAAATATATTTAGTCTTAAAAGTTGAATATGAACAATCTTCAAATCCAGACTTTTATTATATTTTGAGTTTGGAAGAGACTTTCCTGGGCTGTTTGTCAGTCTATCCAAAACTATATGAAATACATACCGTATACAATACAAATGAAAAGTTGCTCATATAGGCCAAATTATCTATCTATCTATCTATCTATCTATCTATCTATCTATCTATCTATCTATCTATCTATCATCTTTCCATTTCCACATTAAGGTGATGCAATTGTCACAACAACATGAAGATCAGATCCAAACTTAGCCAAGAGTTTCCTGAGTGTGTTATATCTTGATTTTCTTAGTTGTCTAAAATACTATGGTTTATCTAAGGCAGAGGTCTCATTCTCACGGCCCACGGTCCAATTGCGGCCCGCAGGACGATATCCTGTGGCCCCCACCGTGATATGAAAGTATAATATTAGTGTATAATATAAAGTATAATATAAAGTATAATATTATGCAGCCCAGCCTCACCCAGACTCTGCCTCCAGCGGCCCCCAGGTAAATTGTGTTTGAGACCCCTGATCTAAGGAGATGATTAAGAAATGGGGAAACATGTTTCTCAAGATCCAATTTTAAAAGTTTATTATGATGGAAGTCCTCTAGAACCCAGCAAATAATTAAATTGTATTCCATTGCTCTTAACAGAATGTAGTGAAATATAATTTTAACTTTTCAAAAATCTATTTGCTTTTGTTGGGGTGGGGGCTAATGAAGATTTATACAGTGCTTCCCAAATGAATAATTGTTGCATAATCAAGTGTTAAGGAGATGCAAAAGAACGGCTATTTTACTTGTTTTTTAAAAAGAAATAATGCCCTATTTGTGCGTGTGTTTGTGTGATTTTAGAAACCCCAGACAAGTTTTCTGGAAGCAGGTCACCCACAAATAAAATATATTTATCAGTTCCTAAATCTGAAATGCACCTTAAAGTGGATGAACAAAATATGCTTCTCAGCACACCCACGAGTTATTTTCCCCATTTCTTTTCCCGTTTCAATATATACTTCCCCCAGCCATCCTGTTAAATCCTTTTCCCCAAATAAAGAGGGGAGATGAAGAAAAACCCTCACTTCTGGCATCTAGCTCCCTCAAGCAGTTCCGAGTTCTCAGGAGAAGGAGAAAGAGGTCCTTGCAAAGATAGTGGTGGGAGCGTAGTTATTTTCTAATCCATACTTTTTAAAAAAGTATAGAGAGATAGAAAGAGACAGAGCGAGGGAGGGGAAGAGCATGTTTTGCCTTGAAGGCAATATTTCTGGAGCCAATCGGAATGTAGCATCCACCCTTCTATTAATTAGAGGGTTTAAAGCAAGCTTGCGCGGTTGGATTTCTTACACATTTTCTCTAGAGGACGGCAATCGTTAGAGCAGCAGCGGCCGAAGTAGCAACTGCTACTATTCCTGGAACCATGGCTGAGTAAGACTACTCAACAGGACGTGAAGGTGGAAAAGATTTGCTCCAGTTAGTTAGTTCTTTGGTTTTCTGCGTCAAGCCGTGGACCTTCCCTTCGCGAGCTTTTCTCATCATGAGTGGACCCTTCGATAAGAAGATTAGCAGCGTTTTCACTGACATTTCCAACTCAGTCAGTTGCCATGCGGGCACCAAAGATTCTCCTACGCTTCCTGAATCGTCCATCACCGACGTGGGATATTATAGCACCCCACACGCTCAGCATGAATATTACCCCAGCCAGCCTTATACTCAGCCTATGAATCCCTATGCATACCCCCCCCAATTTAACTTCAGTGGGATGGGGGCGACGGGGACCTACTCCCCTAAGCCTGACTATGCTTACAGCACTTCATATAGACAATATGGACCTTTCCAGGAGCAGCAGCTGCCCAGTCAAGAAACAGGTAACGAAAGTTTTGAAAAGTCCAGAGTATGTGAGTTTGAGTGGATAACTCTGTTTTGGGGTTCAGGGAGATTAAATAGCTTGGAATCTATTGGAATGTTCTTCCAACTCTAGACATATTTCAAACAATGGGATACGAATATGTGAATGAGTATATGTGAGAGAGATATTGCCTTGCCAGAAAGTATTGTCCTATTGAAAAGAAATGAATTTAACTGAGTCCCTTTTACCTTTGAGACACACAAACTTTTCTGCCACTAACCATTACATTCTTGGATGGGATTCTATTCTTCCTTCAGAGTTTCGTGCTTTATATAAAACATAGGCACAACCCACCACTCACTTGTAAAAGGCAATTAAAGCACAACTGAAATCATTTTTCCTCCTTTTTTTTTTTCTTCCCCCATTCAGATTCTCCCACCAAAAAAAAAAAAAAAAAAACTTTTACAATTGGAAACTTGAATTTGTGGAGTTATGAAATTCAGCAATAAGGACGTTTGGGGCTCCACATCTTTTTTTCCCCCTTCCAGAGTGGAGATTCTCAGTTCTTCAGAGGACTGATTGATCCATTGTGGTTCAAGATCGGTGCTCAAACAGCCTTTCTCCCCCTTTCCCTTTAACTATTTTTTTTTTCCTGGGTGAGAAAAGGTCTGCGCATTTTTTTTCCAGTTTTGTGTGCTAGTTCATGGCTACTCTTTAATTTACAAAGTGCAAATGCTACTGTTGCAACAATACCTTAAATTCCATCTTTTGTTTAAGGGGAGGGGTTGAATTTTTTTTTCTTAAAGAAAAAATAATGCTAAGCCTGAAACTTTTTTTCCTGAGACAAAAAAATAATCCAGTTTCCCCTTCTCCTTAAAAAAATAAACCCACATTTTTTCTAAAACAGTATTTTACCAAATGTGCTAATTTTTTTAGTCTTCCCACACAGACCTGTGATGTGTATACTTTGCTGGTTAAAATCTTGATACCAACACCCACAATTTGGTACCTGTAAGGGCATCTGTTTATTTTTATGAATTAAAAAACTGGGAAAGGAGTAACATAAAAATTGAAAACGTAAAGACAAAATACACAACTGCAAAAACAATGGTGTAAAGATGAAAACGATAGAATTCTATCTTTAAAGAAAACTAGCATGTAGATTTTGGCAACAACCGTCTGAGGCCTATAACTTACGCCCCCATTCCCCACAAATATTTCAGGAAGGGAATATGGGGTTGTGTGGTTCCAATGTAACTGGACAATGCTTCCTGCCAAAGAGGGGGAAAAAAAACCACATCAAATGCATCCAGTGAGACAGAAAATAAATCGTTAAAAAAAAATAAAGTTAGGTCAAAACGGAAGCATGGAGAAGTCCATTTCTGAGATAGAAAGCTTAAGACAGAGCAAAGCAGTAGGCTGTATCCTGCAATTGAACTCTGACTTGGTCCTTTAAAAAAAAAAGAACAAAAAAAAGGGGGGGGGGTAGGGAGACAAAGGACAGCCTAAAAGAAAAATGAATTGGAGGAAAAATAATAAAAAGCAGGGGGGCGGGAGAGACATTGAGCAAAAGAAGGAAAGAATAAAAAAGTTTAATCAATTTTCAAAAATCCTTTTTTAAAAAATGGAATTCCACCTTGTCCTAATTGTTCAGTAAATTGAATAGTAGAAAGCCTCTGAACTTTAGTTTATTCTGACTTACACCAACAAGCAAGCAATGATTGATTCAAACTAGCTCCATACAAACTACGAACAGCTGCTCTTTGATAAAGAGTTACACATGAGTACATTCCACTGAGGAGGGAGGCTTAGTTTTGATGTATTTGCTCAGCACACCTCCTGCAGAATCCTTTGCATAGGCCTTTAAGACCCTCTTTCATCCTTGGTCTGACTTTCGATAGAAGAAAGAAGTAATAGCTGGGAATGTGCAGGTTGAAGTGATAATGTAGAGGCAGGTGCTGGGTGCATTTCAGCATCTTGTTTTACTTAATAACTGTGGAGAAAAAGATAATAGGGAGGTAGACAGCAAGTCCTTGAAATTATTGGAAGGACAGATTGTCTTGCCTGATATTGCTGGTAATTGATAGAAGTAATAGATGTCTCCTTGAAAAGAGCAAAAGTTACAATTCCAGGAGAATTATAGTAAATTACTTTTAATATAGGGTTTGTTCTTTTGTCATATAAATCAAATTATCCTTGACCTATCCAGCAGATTAGTGGCTGAAAATTAGTATTCCTCTGCTGGAACAAAGCATGGATTCTACAGCTGGAACACATATTTTATGAAAGGTTTAGAAACCAGTAGTACTTTCTTTTTCAGTGTCACTACAATACTTTCTTCTGCTATTTGGATTCTTTCTCCTAGAGTATTTCTTTTGTCTCACTTTTGCAGCTTCAGTGAAGGAAGACCCTGAACCTGAAGTGCGAATGGTCAATGGAAAACCCAAAAAAATCCGAAAGCCTCGCACAATTTACTCTAGCTACCAGCTGGCAGCTTTGCAAAGCCGATTCCAAAAGGCACAGTACCTGGCATTGCCAGAGAGGGCAGAGTTGGCTGCACAACTTGGACTAACACAGACACAGGTAAAACTTTAGAAACTGGAAGGAAGGCTGATCACAAGACAGAAAAAGTGTGTGTGCAGTTTTGTTTAGTCTTTCACCTTTGTTTTGGGAACATGAGGGTAAAGAAATATACAACATTGCAATGCCAACAAAATTTCAAAATGCAATACTCTAGACCTTGAAAATTAGTAAAACTCCACAGTGTGTTTTGAAAAAGGAAAAGATCAAGTTAAATTAAAAAAAAAACCCAAGGTTGACAATTAATGTCAGAAGCTCTGTCTAACCTTGTTATTTTTTAAAAAAAATATTTCATAATCATTTGGGGTTTACAGATTGGTTGAATTAAAATCAGTTCACTAGTGTCTAGTTATTAAAGTTCCTCCAATCTATCCATTCTTCTCTTTTCATTATATTTTGTAAATGATTTTTCCATATTTGTTTTCTCACTTCTTTAAATAGGTCACTTTATATGTGTGTACATATGGGTTAAAAAAACAAGAGAGTCTACTGTTTTCAGGACTGTTAACCATTTATGGTAGATAGCTTTTTGCATGCTGAGAAGTTAAAAATGTGTGGATTCTGCCTAAACACAGTATTGACTTAGGATGAAGAGGATCACAGAAATGAGGTGGTGAGTTCCTCTGTTGTCATATGATGACAGTTCTAATTAGAGAAAGCATGAGATGCCATGGACACAAAATGTAATAATAGAACCACAGTAAGCAAGCTGGGACAGAGCAAAGATGGGAAGGAGTGAAGTCATTTTTCTCTGTCCTTTTAGTCCTGTAGCCTACTTGTATCTGGATGAGACCCAAAGATCCAGAATGGTATGCTGACTAGCCAGAGAGGCGGAGGAGCATTGCTGCAGGAAACATGTGGGTGGGGCAAGGCAACCTCCAGTATGTGTTTTGGCAGGTTCCCCCTTTTTTCGTCCTGAAGCTAACTGAGCTTAGGCCAAGAGAATTGATGACTCCAAGAAGGAAGTTGGCTTGAGTGGAAAAAGAACTCATTGTTAGTCTTTAGATGAACATCAGTGGGCCAACTGGTTATTGTGGGCCTTGCTGAGTCTAAAGGTTGCTAGTTGCCATTTGACAGAAGGAACAATATTCCATGTACTATGTTTTTATTTACTATAGGTACACATTTCTTTAAAAAAACAAACAAGTCCTCTGAAAAGGGGTCTCAAACTCACATTTTGCAAAGCAGGAACTATGGTTGAAAGACAGTTAAGATGCAGAAAAAGATGACTTCACTTTTCAGAGCTGTGCTGAAGAGGGAATTTTAGGAAGTCCTCATTTCTATGCAAACTCCACTTGCTGAATTTCCTTCTCCTTGCTTAGCTGTGAATGGTGAGAAGACACGTTCTTCTTCACCGCCTCCTCTCTGCCTGGGAAACAACTCACCAAAGTGCAGGTCAAGCTGAGAAAAGGGATTCTTGTTCAAAAAAGATTCTTGTTCAAAACTCCCTTTTCTCAGTTCAGGATCCCCCCCAGATCTTCCGGACTTCAGTTCCTAGTTTCTCTAGCAGGTCTTATTGGTACAGACATTTCCCCCGCCTTCTTTCTTTAAATAAAAATAGAAGCCATAGAGCTATTACACCACGAATTAAATTTGCTGATTTGAGTGGTATTTCATCTTTTTTTTATTGCCTCAGAGCAAAGTTACAATCTTTTGCAAAATGATTTGGGACCAATTAAAATGCAGAAGAGTTCTGGGAAATCATGAATGGATACATGAGTCTGCAGTTTTAGTACACTTACCTTGGAGCCTAGCTACTCAAAGTTAGTGGGATGTATTTCCAAACAACCATGGATAAGATCTGTTAGACTGAAAATATTTCTAAAGTTCTTCATTTTGTTTGATAAGAGCTAAAGCAATGAGGTAATATATACACGGAAGCAAATGCTGCCTTTAACCTGAGGGTGGGATTTTTTTCTAAAAAAAGTTTCAGTTGGTGACTTAGCTGTGTATTCATTTGGTTAATTTATATGTTAGTGTATTGTGAGAACTCAGAAAATGGATTAATTGAATACCGAAGCACTATGCATAAACGTAGCCACTAGGCACCCAAGTTTTCACTATAATTATAAACGTTTTAAAAATACATAAATACCTTCTTGCAACATCTAGTGGGATAATAAAGCAAGATGTATCTTTCACTTGTTCCCATTGGCTTTATTCAAGGATATACCGAACTATAAATGGTTTGTACTGATTAAGTTTACATGACTACATTGTCAATTTTATTTTAGCTTGACATGTTGTAAGAGCTCAAGCTATTTGTCTTGGCTATATAGCCAATTTGTAATCCAGAGAAAATTAATGGTTTATCTAAAGATAGCAATAGGAAGCAAAGATTTAGACAACCCATCAAATACCTAAGGCAGACTAGACAGCTTAGATTTGTTGGGAAGGTTTTGGATTCAACATTTAGGCTACTATCCTTTTATCAAAATGTCTCCTTTCATTTATCCTAATGTTCAGTTGACTAATTCAAAATGAAGCCAAAAGAAAAGGGGAAGAACAAAAGGAACAACAGCATACACTATCCCCAAACAAACTCTTATATTTTCACCAGTAGCCCTTGATGCTTGAGGTTGTATGGCCTCAGAGTGAAATAGGAGTGCAAGTTTAGGAGTTTAGTAAATGGCTAAAACTAAATGGATCTGAAAATTCCCTTTAATAAATGAATAAATATATATGAGACATACTATATCTTGCCTCCAAAAATTCAGGCAACCATGAGAGGGGCAGCAAAGAGATACAAGAAAACTTACTGCCATCTAGTAGTCATCCAGATCAATGCAGCCTAGATATGTTTACATAAAAGAAAAAGAAAAATAATACACAAGGCTGGATTGCCAAAAAGTAACTTCTTAGACAGGGATGAAATCAGGGTAAAATATACTTTTTATTATCAGGGCTTAACTTTTAATTAGAATGCCATAAAATAATAATGTAAAAGTTATAATACAATTTTAAAAATTTGTTTTTTTTAAAAAAAAACCTAATCTGATCTATCCTCACTAGATTCTTCAACCTTAGAATCTACAAAATTATATGAAAAGTATCACCTATAACAAGAATGCCTTTTTCACCATTCATTTTTTGCGGATTCTTCTCAGATAACTTGAACTAAATGGTCATCTTAGGTTTTAAATATTGAACACATTTCTATAAAAAATCCACATGAGTAATATGTGTTTATTTAGTTCAATAGAGATCTAGCAAAGATCCTCAAAGTAAAATATTAGATTTTTGGCCCTTTCTGGATATGTTTGTTTGAAATTATTTTAGATAATGTGCTTTGCACTGCATTATTGGATTGATATAATCATTAGCTGGATCTGGACATAGTCATGGCCAACAGACCTTTTGAAAGGAATAAGACAGGTTTAATCACAGCTTATTGGAGTTCCATTTATTGCAATGGAATCTACTCTAGACATGATCTGATCTGGATCTCATTCCCTATGTTTAGTGACCTTGTTCCCAAGTAAGTATGAAGAGGACCATAGCCTTCCTTTAAATCAATGTTTTTCAAACTTTAAGATTGCAACTTCCCTTTTGGGGTATGTACCCACAATATATTTCCATCATTTTAGAAATGTCCAAAGCACTCTTCTGTTGAGCCAGTGTTTCTCAATCTTGGCAACTTTCAGATGTGTAGATTTCAACTTCAGCTCCCAGGATTCCCCAGCCAACATGGTCTCCAGCAAAGCAGAACCCCCTAACCAGCAAAGTCTACACATCTTAAAAGTTGCCAAGTTAAAGAACACCAATTTAGAGGATTGGGAGATAAGATCACTTGAGACTTTCAAGAAGAGATTGGACTGCCATTTGTCAGAAATGGTGTAGAGTCTCCTGCTTGGGCAGGTGGGTTGGACTAGATGACCCACAAAGTCCCTTCCAACTCTGATTATCTGTTTGAAACTTCCTAACAGTGAGAACAATTTAGTGTTTCATTTTAAATCTTGGAAAGTTCCTTCTAGATCAGAGATCAAGGTTTTGGGGCTACTCATTTGACTTTTTCTCATTAGTAGTACCCACCATGGTCAACATCAGGATTGGTTGGAACCATAGAGCAACATAAGAAATTCTCAAGGTATCATTTTAATATACAGCATTGATAAATTGGTAGGTATGTCCCCAAAAAGAAAAAAACAAAATCTCCTGAATAATCCTTGTATAAACTGAAGGAATCTTCTCTCCTGCAGAAGCTTCCCAAAATATAAATATAAAAATATTTTTCCTTAGTTCTTGCTCGTATAGTTTAATTTGGCAGTTTAATTTGGCAGTGGCTGACATTTGCAGAAGATTAATTCAAAGGCCATAACATACTTAGGCTATGAGAATGACTTTTTCTTTTCTCAATCATAATTCAGAAAAAGGGGCATATTAGGATGGTTCCCAAAGTAGGAAGGTATCTTTTATCATAAGCTTAGATTTTAAGCAAACCGAGCTTCAATTCTGTAGAGATGTTACAACTTAAAAAATGTGAGGAAAACTATACTCTTTGGACTCCTATTAAAATATTCTGGCTTTTTGCCAAATGCTCACTCACACTGCTCAATGCGATATTCCAAAACATCATGTGTGATTGGTGATACATATACACACACACACACACCCAACCAAGTTAGCTTCCTCTGTTTCAGCTCCCACATTCAGACATGAAGCTATCTTGTGTGTCATCCTCTCCCACAAGCCTTCCCTCCTTAAGCAGGTCATGAGGGGCTGGTAAAGAAGCTGGACTGGAATGTGGAGCCAGCCAAGCACCCTGAGGAAAACAAGGCTGCTTAATTGCTTTGATCTAAATTAAGGGAGCAAGTTGGCGTGCTTCCGGATTCTGATAGGTCAAGAGCATAGCATAGTGGTGGCAACCTGACACATCGAAAATTGCACCCAACAAAATGCTCTCGGGGTGTACAGATGAGTTTTTGTTCCTACAAACACAGACTGCCCCATGACAGTCAGGAAGGAATTTTCCCCTAGGGTCACCATGGTCACTGACCCAAGTTTTTTTCGTTAGACTTTTTTTTTTCCAAGGGTGGTGGTGGTAGGAGGTGGCCTGATGCTTTGCTCATATGTCTGAATCATCTGAAGTTTTTCCCATACAGGATGGGTTTTGTTCATGTTGAGTATGAGGTAGCCATATGATTGTCAAAGCAAGAATTTCCTCCCTTCCCTGGGTGACCACCAGAGACAAATTGCATTTTTTTCCACTCTTAGCTTGCTTGAATCATTTTACACAATGTTGCATTAAATGTATGGTATCTACTATTTGCCTAAATACATTGTCTAGTGTGAATTTCATAACCCAAACCATAATTCCCGAGGTATTAGAATATACTTACAGCCATCTATAACAAATGAGATATAATCTTTCACTTTGGTATAACTGGACTTTTTTGGTTTATTCCTTGAAAATGGTTCTCTTCTCATCCAAGAAGCTTCTTCAGTTCTGGATGAGAAGTGAATAAACTAAGAAAGTCCAGCTGACTTTTGGAAAGGCACCAAAGAATTCCCCAAACTCACTGGTCAGAGTTTTTTTTCTAGCAACAAATACTTCGTACTGTCGGTGGTGTTTTTTGGCAAGTATCACCAAGATGCACAGGCTTCGAATTTCTGATGTGTCTTAATTAAAATATATCACTATATACTATGGAAGTCTCATCACTTCCATCCTAGTTTGGTAGGAATTTTTCTAAGGTCATATTTTAGAAAATGAAAGAAATACCGAGAATGTGGTTTTCTTTGGACATGAGGGGGAGCTCTTTCTTTAATCTTGTAGATTTGAATGATATCCTTGAGTCTTATCAGTTGTCCTTCCACTTCTTCTTTAGCATTTTCCCTTCTGTTTTTTCTTTTGTTTTTTTACTATCTGACATTCATGCATACTTGCATATGTTCAGCATAGTTGCTGCCTTTATATATTTTATCACCCTCTAAAATGGAATACTAATGGAAGAATCATCTATTAATCAGTTCCTTTACTAAAAGATATTCTGACACATTGTACCTTTCCACCTTGAGCAGAAGTAGATTTGATGCATTTAACTAGAATTAAAAGGGTCCAGAAACACCTTTTCCCTTTTGTTTGGGGTTTTGATAGTTGAAGTCCATACATATAAAAAGTATGACACTGGAGATTGTTCCTCTGTTATCAACAATTTGTAATGATTTTGGATTATTTCAGATTAAATCATATGGTCTGTTCTTGTGAGTTCACAATCCTATCCTATGGCAGGTGAAAGAATTATTAGCCAGTCAAGATAGCTGCATTTTAATTGATTGCTCAAAATAAAAAATTGCCAATTCCAAAACAATAGCTAGAGCACTTAGACTTATATACTGCTTCACAGTGCTTTGCAACCCTCTCTGAGCTGTTTTATGGAATCAGGATATTGTGCCCAACAGTCTGGGTCCTCATTTTACCAACCTCAAGGCTGAGTCAACCTTGAACCAGTGAGAATCAAACTGCTGAATTGCTGGCAGTCGGCAGTCAGCAGAATTAGCCTGCAATGCTACATTCATAGCAATGTGCCACCATGGCTCTTCCATTGATTACTAACAGCAGAGAGATTTCTCCTGCCCACAGAAGAAAAATGGATATTTCTCAATTAAACAAAACAGATGTCCCCAAGTCTTCCTGCTTCCTTGTTTTGATTAGGAAGAGTTTCTGTCTCTACTATGTTTGATCCTTTATTCTTTCTTCCTACCTGCCACCCACTTTCTTTTGTTTTACTGATACTCTTTCTCTAGAGTGGGATGTAGATGGAGTCACACAACTCTACAGTAGTATTGGGAAGATTTCCAGCCAGCTAGGCCAGTATTCCAGCCCTGCCCTAAATTTCATCATGACAGTCTTCCCAATCCCAATGTTTAGCATCCTTGAAAGACTTGTAAAACCTTTTGAGCAAGCTTTTGTCACCTGACACTTTCTGCAATGAGCCACAGTTCCCTGCTTCTATTAATACAATGATTGATAGACCATTTTAGAAACTGACGTGTAGTCCCACTTTTCAAAAGGAAAGGGGGATATGCTTATTTTCTTCTACACATTCCTAGAAAGAGTTTAGAGCAGAGATTGCTATTACCCCTGTGATTTACTCTCACATACTTTCTGCATTTTAGAGTTAGATTGAGGAAGAGTAATTAGATTCACTGTTTATGCTAAGTCAAAACTAAACAAAACAAAATGTTGCCTAGCAGGGTCTCTACAGTCAGGCATAGTTGTAGTTCATGGTTTAATACAATATAAGAATCCATATCAGATCTTTGAACTATCTAATCCAGCCTTTCCAAGAAAATATCTGAAAATGCCAGGATTTGAGCCCATTATCTGTTTCATGAAAAGTCTTGAATCCACTGAACCACAGACCTCTCCTTGAACTGGACAAATAATACTTTTACTTGTGTTGATGGAGGGAATGCGGAGCTCTATTTTTGGTGGGGAAAGGACTGGCTTAGAATAGAATATAATAGACACAGCCTATTCTGCAAATTAAATAATGTTCTCTCTTTCTTGCAGGTGAAAATTTGGTTCCAAAACCGCAGATCTAAGTTTAAGAAATTGTACAAAAATGGAGAGGTCCCCTTGGAAAAGAGCTCCAATAACAGTGACTCCATGGCTTGTAATTCTCCATCTCCTGCCCTCTGGGACAGTAATACTCATAATAACCCAGCCAGCAGGAGCCAAATCCCCCAGCCACCCTCTTATAATTCTACTACAAACTACCCAGAAAATCCGAATTCTTGGTTCCAGCATCAAAATCTGAACGGGCCCCACTTGCAACAACAGGGTCCTCCGCCCACTTCTGACTCTATGCATCACCCATCTCCAGGGCCTCCTCCCAATCCTGGAGCAGTTTATCAACCTCCTTTCCCTCCTCAATGAAACCAGTGGAGCAGGAAAAAAGGAATGAGGGAGACAGAGAGAGAGAGAGAGAATCAAACAGAAGGCAACAAGTTAAAACCCTTTGATATGTTTCACAGGACATGTACACATTCCATCTCATCTCAGGAACAAGTGAATTGCAACAGGGCTAAGACAGTAGGGGAGACCCTTGGGGGAGGGGGTTTAAATAAATGTGAAAGGGAGAGAAACTACTTGCAGCCCATGTTGTATTTCAATCAAATTGATTTCATCAAGAACTCTGTTACCCACTTCTTGGATGATTTCTCTCTGGGTTAATTGTTCCCAATCTCCACTATCATCTGGGTGGCTCTCAGCATGGTTAAAGAAGAGCTGCATGGAAAAGGAGAAAAGGAGGGGAAAATATCCCTTTTTTCCTTTAATGTATTTTGGTTTTGCTTTGTTCTATTTGTTGATGACCTCCCCAAGCAGAGTGGTTTTGAGAGGTATCAACTTCATGTGTCTTCTGAAAGATTATCTTCTGATTGGTTGCAAATACCAAATCAGTTATTGATGCCCAAGACAGGAATAGTCTTGAACTGTTACTTAGCCATGCAGTTGGGAATGGGAACAATGTAAGCTATCAACTCTTTCTCATTTTACACATCATCTTGGAAATACTGTCCTACTGGAAATTATAGCAATGTTCTAAAAAGGCTGTGGAAACCTGGAAAAAAACAATACTGACCTTACCAATGTTTATTCTGAATTTATACTGAATGCACTCTTAATTGCAGATTAAAAAAGAAAAAAAATTTAAAGTAAACTTTTGTACTGGTTTTTCATCTGGTGATGGAAGAGAAAAAAGTGTTCTCAGTTCTATACTACCTCTGGTTAATAGTCTTGTCCTGAGCGTTTGAGGTGGATACTTCACACCATAAAAATAAATGAAGAATTCCAATACACAAGGGAACAAAAAAACAAACTGATCTCCTTTATAATTCTCAGCACATACTGTTAAACCAAGGGTTTTGGACAATTTTTTAAAAATAAACTCTAGTAGTTTGATTTACTTAACATTAAATCACAACTCATGGTTAACAAAAACCAGAATTCCTGGCTTCATTTAACATGCTAAACCAGAGCCTAAAATATAGCAAAGTGACAGTTCTTAAGTAAGTTTTGCCTCATTTTAAGACCTTTCTTCCCACACTTGTTAAGTGAATTACTGCACTTGTTAAGTTAGTAACAACTAAAACAGGTGTAAGATGAATATGGCTTCCCCATTGAGTTTTCTTGTCAGAAGGTTGCAAAAACTGAGCACATGACCCCAGGATATTACAGTCATCACCACTATGACTTAGCTGCCGAACACACAAATTCTGATCATGTGACCATGGGGATGCTGTGTGAAAAACAGTCATAAGTCCCTTTTTTCAGTGCCATTGTAACTTTGAACAGTCACTAAATGAAAGAATTGTAAGTCAAGGACTACCTGCATGGGGTCACACAAGGTACAAATACATGGTGTAACCATGCTTTGCCCAATGGGTTCATACAAAATAGTAAATAATTAACCAAAGTTAACAAACTACTATAGCTGAGTTTGTATGGCAATCTAAGTTAAAATCAACCAAAGCATAAATCTTGTAAATATGATTTAGGCTAATATGTGAATCACATTTGAAGCTCTCCACTTAACTGATAAGTTGTATTGTAGAAGTGCTAATTATACATAGAATTGGGACATCAAAGACAGGGATTCTTTGCTCCAGGCCAAGTATAGTTGGCAAAGTTTGTGTCAAGGAATGGAGCGATCATGAAGAGGGGAAAAAAAGTGCCAATCATCCTAGATAATTCCAGGTGTACTATAGAGTAAGGCTACATATTCATTCCTCCATTTCTTGAATTTGAGCCTACTGATATCAGTGGAATTTATTTTCATATACCTATGAGGAGTACATTGTAGGAATCCTGATTTTTGCTTTGGTCAAAAGCAAAATCTGACAACCTATAATAACAAGGGAGAATAACACCAAAGTTTCTTTGCTGTCTTGGTCTCTGCTTATTTCACCATCAAACAAGTTACTTCAGTTTTGAATTTAGAAATCTCTCCCCCTCTCAAAAAAAAAACATACATACATTTTATTCCAATTGAGAAGCTGACCTTCATTTAGTTATTTTTTTTTTAATGATGCCAGATAAATATTTTATTTAAAAGTTAGGGAGATATTTAAAATACTTCAGGATAATTTTAAGTTATTTTTTAAAAATAAAGTAATAGTTGTATGTTGCTCTAAAGCCATTTTAAGCTATTGTCAAAAAGGAAAGGTTATTTTTTAAAGCAAAACCCAAAACAAATCCATCTTGGATATTTTTGAAATAAAGCTGTATAAATTTTTAAAGCAAGAAATAAGAGCTACAATTTGAATAAAGGATCTCTTACGCTGTATCAAATATAATAGTATCAGGTTCATATTCATGTTGCCTGGTATAATAAATAAGGAGAGTTGGGGTGAGGGGGATGCATATATGGCTTTATATAAAACATTTTAAATAAAAAAAAACCCTTTTCTTTTTTTTATTCTTAGGGAAATTTTAAAAAAATCATTTCACTTTGCTTAAGATTCCTTTCTGTTTTGATAGCAAACAGAACCTTTCTATATAATATTAATAAAACATTTTTTGAACTTCACAGAATAAGACTTCATTTTTTTGCTTAAGCAGCTGTGGTTGAGGAATATGGATTTTGTTCTTTTCTTCCTCAAAGTTCTCATTCCAGGATAATGTGATCATAACATATTTTGAAGACTTTGCATACAATGTTTTAGCATATATCATACAGTATATGAGTCTACAGTGGAATCTATGAAAAAAAGATATGGAAAGGGTCATTTGAATAGTCATTTCCAAATGATCGTAATTGATGTCCTTAACCTGATGCTATATAGGTCTACTGGTCTACAAATTTCAGAAATTCCATATAGAATTTGAGGTGTTAGTACATCTGGAGACTAACAGTTTGGATGTATGGCTTTTCTATTCATCCTAGCAATATGAGAAACATAACCATAGTCTTTTACCTTCAGGGACACCTCAGCAATTATGACAGGTGATATAGGAGAATATGCCAAATGCCATGAGCAGAAGATCCTGGGCTTAAGACATCAAGTGTTTCGTGAACTTGATGAAATCCTCTCTGCCTTGTGTAGACAGTAGTCTTCAACAGGGATAATAAAAATTGTTTCTCAACCATTCTTTTAAGATACATTTGAGAAAACAATATGAATAAAGAAAAATCAACCCGAGCTGCTTAATTCAAAAGGTTTCCTGAAAGGGTAGAAATTCTTTATGTCTGGTTTTAAACTAGTAGATGTACTACACATTTTTGCAGCCTTCTAGAATTTGTAGAAGTTAAAGCAGATAAAAATATTTCAAATGCAGTAGACAAATCCAGTAAGATTGGTAGCATAGCATCCATGGCTCTTGTTGGGGTTCCAATAATCTAACAGACCCTGCTGTATATTCACTTTGGGAATATAACATTGGGAATATAAAAAATAAGCATTGATGGGATTCAACAACAATTTGGCTTGTTTCAATGAAGGCCCTTGTTAGGCTTCCATGGTGAATTCAAGGAAGTTCTTCAGTAAGCTCTTCAGGGCTCCTCATGAACTTTGGTGGAGCAATTATCATAAAGAAATGAAGACATATGGGATTCCTCAACCTGTGGGAAGCTACAGTGAATGAACTTAAAGAATGATTGAAAAAGTGGAGCAGTCTGTGCAACTATGACTTGAAACTTTGAAATAGGTAAGACAGAACAACCAGAATAGCACAAAAGTACATATTTTCAAGCTCTCTTACTTTACCCATTTAAAAAAAATGCTATAAAAACATGGCTACCTGAGGTATTATCTGGGGGATGCAAGCTCTCAGCATCTCTTTCACTGTTCACATAATGGATACCACAGTGGTCACAGTGGTCATCCAACTAGCACATATGGTAGTAGCAAGTAAATCCAGAATGACCAGAAAAACTAGTTAAAGACTATTGCCAACAGTCAAATATATGTTGAAATTGTGGGGAAACCTTTCTAATCAGCAGATATCCTTGAAACTGATAAACAAATGCCCAGAAGATAATGCTTTAGATATGTTTACAGTAGAAAGATGTATAAGGGAATAATTTTTGCCTAACAGGGAGGCTGATACTCATTTGCTTTTTTTGTTGAATTATTGGAATATATACATTTTTAAGTAGATGGGTCAAATGCCAAGTTGTCGTTGACTGTGATTAGAAATACAAATTATAACTAGGTTATGTGGAGTTGGCAACAGAGAATGTTATCATAACTTGCAGGTCCTGTGAGGGCTTTGAGACAGTTTTGGTGTTGCTTCAACTGGAAGCTTGGAACCACCATTGTAGAGAGTGTCTAGGTCTTCTAGAGATGCTTCCAGGATCAAACTGTGACTTACAAGGGAGCAAGAGTTTTAGATACTTGGGAAGTTAATGCAAGAGGAAATTCAGATCCCTCCTCAATACATGTAGCATTAGCAAATGAACAAGAATTATATTCCAGTGAAAACCTTGCTTCTTCAGGAAGATCACATTAATTAAACCAGATCTTAAGGATTAGGGTCTCTTCTGCCAGAAGCTGAGCTCACGGCAGATGTCTTTAGGAAAGCCTGCATATTTTATTTTTGTTTAACTTTGAAAATTTTAGTTGCATGGTTAGAATCTCAAAGTTGAAGTAGCTGAAAGTTTAAGGAAGAAATGTCTACAGGCTCAGGTTCCATATGAGGTGAAATAGGTGAAGATAAGGATGGTGATCTCTCTCTCTCTCTCTCTCTCTCTCTCTCTCTCTCACACACACACACACACACACACACACACACACACACACACACAACCAAGAGAAAACCAGCACATATCCAGGTAGTCATCAAAGCAATATTGTTTATCTTTGCTATAGCCTATTTTGCCAACTATTTGTAAAACTCAAGTTTCTTTTTCATTGTATTTACGTGTAGTCCTCAATGTATGACCACAATTGGGACTGGGACTTCGGTTACTAAGTGAAGTGGCTGTTAAGTGAATCACATTCAGTGTTTGTCTTTTTTTGCCATGGTCCTTAAGTGAAGCATACAAATCTACAGTGGTGTCCATGATTTCATACACTATACATTGAAAGCATATGAGTAGCTTAGTGGCATTTCTCTATATTTGTTCTAACAACACATACAGAAATTTAACAGACAGAAACAAAGCTAATTCAGTGTGATGGAATCTAATAGAATTAGGAAATGAAATCTCTTTCTTACTTTCCTCATTTCCCCAAAAGTTCTACGTCTTCTATTGCATATAAAATTTGCAACTTATCTCATTTGCACAAGCTACTGAGAATGGGTTGCTTTCCATATCTGGCATAGTTTTGATTGGGTAGGGTACATTGTGTAGTTGGGAAACATTTTGTGTTCCAACTTTGAGTCAGAAAAAGCAAAAAAGGGTTGTTTTCTTCTTCAGATCTTATGAATCAACTTGAAGTGGTTTCACAAGCTATCATTCACTCTGAACCAATGAAATAAGAACATGCCAAATTCATATTAAGTGCATATTAATAGCAGACATGGACAGAAACATGTGGTTGAAGGACTACATTGAGACAATGGAGACAAGATACTGTAGATACTGTAGGGTTCAGCTGTAATAGACTCAGCATCCAATAACACCCTTGGCTTAGAATTGGCTAAGACAGTTCTTCTCCATAATGATTTCTTCCTAACCTGGTTTTTCAGGTCTTCCAAAAATGTACCCACTTTTGCTGTAATTGAGTCTATCCCCCTTACTGCTCATCATCCTCTTCTCTTTGCTTCCACTCTCCCAGTATTACAACCTTCTCCAGAGAGAGTCTTCACATAATGTATCTGAATTAAGATCATTTGTACCTGGTCCTTTGTGCCTTGAGTGAGAACTCTGAGTTAATTTGTTTGATGACTTGTTTGTTTGTTGTGTCTCCATGGTATTCTCAGGTATCATCTCCAACGGCAAAATTAAAAAAACATCAATACTGTTCCTACCCTGCATCTTCAAAGTCCAACTTTACTTGTATAGAGTGTCACAGGAAATATCTTGGCCTGCACTACTC